TTTTCTAGGCTACTTTAAAGATTTTCCTCTTTGTTTCCAAAAGTTTCATTATTATGTGTGTCTGTTTATGTCTTTTAATTTATCCTCCTTAGGTGCATAGAGCTTTTTGTAATTGTGCATTTATGTCCTTTATCAGGTTTGGACAGGGTTCAGCCATTATCTCTTCAAAAAATTGCTTCTATACCATTTTCTCATTTTCCTTCTACGATTCCATTATGTCTGTGTTAGACCTTCTCAATAAATCATATATTATTTCTCTGTCTTCTGCATTTTACACATTTTTGTCTTTCTGGGCCTCATTCTAGATATTTTTTTCAGTTAATGGGTTGTCCCTTCAACTATATCTAAACCACTGATTTTTTAATCTATATTTTCCTGTTTTAGAATTTCTAGTTTGCTTGTTCTCTCACATGTGCTTTTTCTACCTAAACACACTGTTTATATAATAGAATTCTTGTATTAGTTTCACCTACTTGAACATGTTCATCATAGCTATTTTAAAGTTTGATAACTATCTGAAATTCTATTAGGTCAGTATTTTTAATTGGGTTATACATTATATACAATAAAATAAAAGTAGATTTTTGTACATTTCTTTTTTATGTTGTACATTTCAAAGTGGGCAAACATATACAGTTATATAACTACTACCCAATGAAGATATAGAATATTCTACTTTACCAATAAGTTCTCTTATACCCATTTTCAGTGAATCCACCACCCCAGAGGAAGAACCGCTTTGGTTTCTAACAGCATAGCTTAGTTTTGCCTGTTTTGGAATTTCATATAAATGAAATCATATATTATGTACTATTTTGTGTCTGGCTTCTTAGTTTGACATAATTTTTGAGATCCACCTATATTGTTATGTGAATCAATAGTTGTAAATTCACTGTATAAATATGCCACAATATAAACACACATTCACTTGTTGATGTACATCTGGATATTTTTCCAATTTGGGATTTTATGAATAAAGCTATTATGAACATTCTTGTATAAGCCTTTTATAGATATATACTATGGATATATATTTTTTCATATCACTTGGGTATTAAGTGAAATACTTAAATTTTAGGGCAAATATATTTTTACCTTTTAAGAAATAGCCAACCATTTTCCCAAGTGATTGTTCCATTTTACAACCTCACCAGCAATGTGTGAGAGATCCATTTGCTCCTCAATCTCACAAATATTTGCAATTGTCATTCTGTTTTAATTTTAGCCACTCTAGTGTTTATAAAGTAATGTCTCCATGTGGCTTTTATATTTCCCTGATACAAAATGATATTAAGTATATTTTCATGTTCTTATGGGGTGTTTGCATATATTCTTGGTGAAATGTCTTTTCATGTATTTTTCCAATATTTAAAATTAGATTCTTTATATTTTTATCACTGAATTATAGGATCTCCTTATATTTTTTGAATAGATGCTTTGTCAGATCTGTACATATATAAAATATATTCTTCCAGTCTATGGCTTGCCTTTTCATTTTTTTACTGCTGTTCTTTGATGAGTGGAAATTTTTAATTTTGACAAAGTCCAATTTATTCTTTTATTCTTATTTTTTTGTACACTAAGGAATTTCTGCATTCCAAAGGTTACAAAGACATTGTCTTATATTTAGTTCTAAGACAATGACATTTTTAGCTTTTATATTTAAACCTATATCAATCAAATTAATTCTTTGTAATGTCATCTGTGTCATGAATCAAGTTTTCGTATATGTGGGCCTACTTTTACTCTCTCTGTAGTGTTTATTTTTCTTTCCCTTATGCCTATAACACACTGTTTTAATTACTATAGATTTTAATCATTTTTGGCATCTCATGGGGCAAGTCCCTCCACTTTGGTCTTCTTATTGAGGAGGATATTGGCTATTCTTGGCTCTTTGTTCTATCATAAAAATTCTGCAATCACTTTTTAAATTAATGTGTTAATGTAAAATTTCGAAGTTTTTACATCAATGCAATGAGTGTAAATATGAACTCTAAACTCATGTGAGGCCAAGTTTAAATTAAAAAAAATAAATTCTTAAGGAAGAATTTTTTCTATATTTTACACAGATCCCTGGCCAAAATAGCATGCCTCCTTATTGTCTCCCTGATTACTGTATTTTTCTAGTGCTCTTTCTAGGGTATAACCCTTAAATGGTATTGGATTGATGAGATGAATCCTTGTATTCATCTCCTATGGTTTATGTAAAAAAAAAAAAACAAAACCACAAATTAAGTGGCTTAAAACAACACAAATATTTTTTCTTACACTTTTGGAGGTCAGAAGTCTGGCAGTTTTATGGGCTTTCTCCTCTTTCAAAGCCAACGGCAGAGCATCTTCAAATTTCTTCAGCTTTTTTCATCAAACTGCCTTCTGCTCTGTAGTCAAATATCTCTCTGCCTCCCTCTTATAAGGACACTTGTGATTATATTTAGGGCCCATCCAGATAATCCAGGATAATCTCTCCATCTCAAGATCTTTAATATAGTGCACATCTGCAACACCCCTTTTGCTATATAGGCTAACATTCACAGATTTCAGAGATTAAGACATGGATATATTCGGGGGGCATTATTTAGTCTACCACAGCCCTAGTTCTAATCCTAAACTTCACTCAGACTCAGAGCCTTTCTTGTGTAACCTTAAAACTCAGAGCCTTATTGCGGCACCTGGGTGGCTTCGTCGGTTTAGCGTCCCACTCTTGGTTTTGGCTCAGGTCATGATCTCAGGGTTTGGTGGGTTGAGCCCTGCATCGGGCTCTGTGCTGACAGAGCAGACCCTTCTTCAGATTCTCTGCCTCAATCTCTGTCCCTCCCCCACTTGCTCTCTCTCACTCTTGCTCTTTCTCACTCTATCTCTCTCCCTCTCCCTCCCTCCCTCCAAATAAATTAAAAAAACCCCAAAACTCTTATTTACCAAGACTAGTAGTCTATCTACCCATCTTCCAACTATAACAGTATCAGCTCATGTGACTAACATTCCAATTTTTAGTTCCCTCTTTCATTTGGGCCCCTGAGCATTTCCTTTAATTTCTTATCATCTCACATATTTAAAAAGAATATTTTCTATGTTTTATCTAACTTTTCTAGAATTTTGTGGAGGGAGATTTTCAGGGTATCTAGTTTGTTATATTTCTAAAAATCAGTGCCTCCTATATAGATTCTGCTCCCTCCACTTCACCAGAACTGTGGTTGTACATGCCTCACAGCCACCACTACTATGGAGGCAGGTTAGTAGACTAAAAAGAGTGAATATTTGTCTCCTAAAAATGTTTACAGTGGGGAAAACAGGCAGAAAATGTTCTATATGTTTAAGTCTTCCAGGAGAAAATGCTAATAATATGCAAATCTCTTTTAGACATCGGTAAATTTATATTAAAGAAAATTTTCCTGATTGTAGGTACTATTGAAAAACCCTTCAAGCTTTGTGTACCCTTTACTGATAATTTGCAATTTAAAACAGCTAGAGGAGAAACATCAATGTCAGATGCTTATAGAAAAAAAAAGGATGATAAAAAAGCACCCAGTCCACTTCTTTGTTGTCAACTTAGTTTCTCACTTCCCACCTTCTCCAGCTCTGACCACTAATTTTCTCTTTTTCACTGAAGGCTCAGTCCCTCTCCAGTTCCAAAAGCAAACTTGACTGAGACAGGAAGCATTTAATAAACTTCCTACTCCAACACTCTTTTTATAAAAATTTATTTTAATGTTTATTTTTGAGAGAGAGATATCATGAGCAGGGGAGGGGCAGAGAGAGAGACCGAAACACAGAATCCGAAGCAGACTCTAGGCTCTGAGCTGTCAGCAAGGAGCCTGAAGCGAACCTCGAAGTCATGAGCTGTGAGATCATGACCTGAACCAAACGAAGGTGGACGCTCAACCAACTGAGCCACCCAGGCGCCCCCAACACTCTTCTTATTCCCACTTTTTTGTTAAGAACTCAGTTGCCTGAAATACCAGGACCTGATGACTCACTTACCAATGCTATGCCCAGGCATTGCTTCCATCCACTTTCCATATCCCAACCTGACAGTCCATCATAAGACTTAGCAAATGCCCTCACCTCCCCATTCTCCATAAGACAACACTCACCAAAGACCGTGCGGGCAGGGACAGACTCTCTGTTGAGCCAGAAAGACACTTGTGACAGAATGACAGTCATGATACATGGCAAGTAGGTCTGGATCACAAAGTAGCCAATTTTTCGCTTGAGATGGAAGTGGGTTGTCATGACGACATATTCTCCTGGAGAGAGTAAAATTAGGCAATATGTAGCTGAATAAACATTGTTAAATCAAGGTGGGCCCCAATTCAGTTCACCAAGCTCTTTAACCTTATAGTCAAAACAAGACATTCCAGCACCTACCAAGTTCACATAACCATATCTCTTTAATAATCATGAAGCAGTGCTTTTGTGTGAAAATATGCTAATACTATACCAACACAGCTTGCTCAGAGCAATTTTGACACAGATTCATTCAAATACATTAGTGTATTCATTTAAATAATAATAAATATCATTCTTTTCTATAGCATTTGCTTTGTGATTGGCACTCTTCTAGCACTTTAACATTCTTAACATACTTAATGATTACAAAAATACTATAAGGTGGATACTATTGTTATCCTCATTTTATAGTCCAATAAACTCAGGCAAAGAGAGATTGAACAACTTAAGCACGGTTTTCCAGCTACTAAGTAGCAGAGCCTGAATTCAAGGTCATATGGGTTGGCTCCACCATTTATGCTTTTTAACCATTCTGCTCTTTTGTTTGAATGGACTTATAGGGTTAGAACCAAAAGTTCATATAGCAGAATGTGGGTTAGCCTAGATCACCCCACTCTAAAACAAGCATGAGCACTTATTGAACTCTTACTATGTGCCAAAAATTTTGAGTGTTTGGGGAATATTAACTTTACACCCACCCAACAACCCTGTAAGGTAGATTATCAATTATTTATCAGTCCTAATGGATCTGTCAGCAGCATTTTCCATAGATGAGCACTCCATCCTCCTGGAATGACTCTCTTAAGCAAACTTCTAGGTCATGACACTCTTCTGGTTTCCTTCCTATCTTTCCAGTCTCCTTTGCTGGTTCCTTCAACTTTCTAAACACTTGACGATGTCAGGACTCAATACTTGTCCTATTTTCTGCCTCACTCACTTCCTTGGCATTCTCATCCAGCCTGTCTTTAAATAATATCTTCTTCCTAGGCTTCCTACTTGTTATGGGTTGAATTGTGTACCCCAGAAAGATATGGTGAAGTCCTAACCCTGAGTACTTCAGAATGTAACCTTTATTTTTTTTTTCATTTTTTAATTTTTCAATATATGAAATTGTCAAATTGGTTCCCATACAACACCCAGTACTCATCCCAAA